CAAAGCATGGCTTCTGCTGAAATAAACAAGCCAACCAACTAACCATGTCCAAGCCTGTGTGTGGCACACCTATCAACTCCATCAAGCACACTAACTCTTATCAACAGAACATAAGATTTTAAAGCAAAATTTAAATATAACCCAATTCAAACAATAACCAATGATTATAGGTGACAGTGAAAACAAAAACAAAAGCCTGATGAATACATTGACTAAATGAGTTACTTTAGACCATCACTGGTCTAAGCCACACCCTTAATCCTGACCTATGTCCTTATACAGGCAAACACAACTATGTAGAGGATACTTGTCTTTAAAGTATTATTGTCCTACAAGCAATTGTCAGAAAGTAACTCAGGTGATCAAATAGTTTGGTGCCAAAAAAAGTCCCATCAGAGCACTGAGACATGAAGCATTCATTTCCAAGAGAGAGAGAGGAAAAACAAAAACAAAAAACAAAACAATAGACTAATGTATACACTCTGAAACAAATTTTGATTATCCTTTCATATTCTGAATTCTTACATGACAAAATTATAAGTAATGGGCTCTAATGTGTTTGGCTCCCAATGGGTTCTGCTCTCTCACAGCTTGACTGGTGCAGCTTTTGTAAACAAGCCCATTTACTGGTGCCCATGACTGAGTAGACCGTCTGTTTCTTGTTGGAATCTTGAGGGAGACAACATGCACACCTGAATATCATACTGCTCAAATTCTTTTTTAAAAAATACTTATACCATGATTTTTCTGAAAAACGAGAAGAATTTCAAGAAAATAGTCAATGGAAAATGAGAGAAAATTAGCACAGTTATTTTGAAATTTAATTTTTTTTTCTTAAATATGAATTTCAGATCAGGGTCATTCAAAGCACTGTAGGAGATTAACAGCTTTCTTTTGCCATTTAGTAGATCAAGGAGTATGATGAAAGATGTTCTAGTCTAGTGGGCATTTGTGCTTCCTTTCATGACATTTGAATAAAGTTTCCAGCTAGAGTTACCTGGGACACAGGCTGTTGAATCTGAGGTTTAACTTACAGGTTCCAGAGAAAGCTCTGAATTGGTTTGTCAGAGAGCCTGTGCCTTACAGAGTCTGAAAGGAAGTAAGTGGTCAGGTTGCTCATAGCCTAGTCCCAAACAGGAAACAAGCTCAGGGAAAAGTTACAGTAACTTAATCGGCTCTGTGGTCAGGACAGAGTTCCCTGCTAGGGCAACCAATGACATCTTCATAACTGGCTCATAAACTCCAGACTACAATAGGGTCCAATGTAGGACATTTTGTTTTGTTTTGTTTTTGGTCCCTACTTAACATAATACTAACACATTATACTCTGTTCAATTAGAATATTTTTTAGAAAGTCAGAATTAGAAAGCTATAATTTCATTTTTCAAATGTAATAGAAATGTTGTGATGGGAATAAATGGATTAGAATTCCTGGAAGAAAAATCAGTTTCTAACTGTATGTATCTTTCTAATATCTTCTTTAGCTTCTCAGGTGCATCCTTCAATCTTGAGTCCCATCAGCCATATTATTTCACTATGATACTTATGATATTAAAAAGGAAAGACGGAACACTATAAAATTAGAAATGATTAAAAACTGTTGTTTTTAGTTAAGGGTTTACCCATTAAAAGTTGGATCAGGAAGTGACTTTATGAGCTGACTGATACACCTCTTGTACAAGGGGCCTGGCTTAAATAAAAGGACTACAATGGGTAACTACTACTTGTGAAATAGAAATTACTTATGAGAGGCATTTTGTATTATTAATATTGTCTGTTGGTCTCATCTGGGATTCACCTACAACCTTTAGGCAGTCTCTCAAATTGTGAGCAAACTCTTTGTGTATAGTTACCCTCATTATTCATGGAGAACATGTTCCAAAACCCTCAGTAGACACCTGAAACCTCAGATAGTACAAACTCTGTAAATGAATCTTGCCTACCTTCACCAAGCCTGCCATGCACTGTGACTGCAACTTTTGCTGTTGGAGGTATATCAGCAAAGCAGCATGACTTTCCTCAGCATACATCCTCAGTACCTCAGCATTTTTTCTTCTTTTCTTCCTTCCTTTCTCCCTTTCTTTCTGTCTTTCTTTCTTTTGTTCTTTCTTAAGTATAGAAGTTTTGACGGAATCACTATTCTTACACTGGAAGTCATTATTAAATAAAACAATGGTTGATTGAACAAAAGTAGTGAGCTACCTCTGTGGTTGATCTGATAACATAGGGAGCAATTGCTTGACTAGCTGCTGCTGCTGCTGCTGCTGCTGCTGCTGGTAGCTCATGAACTGTAGAGCCACTGAGTAAAGGAATAACTCATCTTAGGTGAATAATATTAGACTCCAGCACCCTACTCAGAATGATGCAAATTTAAAATTTATAAATTGATTATATCTGAACTTTCCCATTTAATAGTTTGGGTTTGTAGTTTATGGTGGGTAACCGAGACTACAGAAAGTAAAGTCATAGACAAGGAAGAACTAGTTGGAAACATACTTCCTTTGAATATGAGGACAAATCAACTCAGTCTTGTTAAATGAACAAAGTTGTCTTTTTTCTGTTCATTTATGATTGAATACATTAGTCTTCACTACATACACAAGTAAAGTTATACATCAGCTTTTCAGTTATATGTGTGACCTTGTTAAAAAGTCATTTATTGCCCGAGTTTTCAGTAGCCTCTTCTAGAAAGTAAGGGATTGGCTTTAGATAATCTTCAAGTTCCTTCCAGCTGAGTGTGTGTGTGTGTGTGTGTGTGTGTGTGTGTGTGTGTGTAGTACTAGAATGGTGGAGAAAATGAAATTTGTTCTGGTCCTGGCCTCTCCCCATTCAATTTACCCACTATTCAGTGGTAGTCTCCTGGCTCTCACTTGAAATTCCAATTCTGGTTTCTGCATCAAGTTCAGCTTCAAGAGGATGTAGAATCAAGCACTGAAATTGTGTTAGAATTTCAATGCAGTGTGGCAGAGGGTAAAGAACAATGGTTCAAGATCTGTTGAAAGGCTCGAGCTCAGGTCTCAAAGGTCACTTATTTGTCCTGAACCTTGGACTCTCTATGTCAGTATGTTCCCTACATTGTACTTTATGCTTAATATTCTTTGTAAATACAAGATTGAGTTTAGCTAGAGGTGTGTGTGTATGTGTGCACGCACACACGTGCGCGCACACACGCACACGCTTGCAACCTTTTAAGGCCCAGGTTCTTTGGTGTTTGGAACTACACGTTAGAGATTGTTCTCCACAGCACCTGTACAGAGGTTGGCTTGCTTCCTAAATATAGTAATTGACCCACTTAGAAGTGATGAGAAGCAAAGACATTGCTTCTGTAAGCACCCCATTCTCTTGGAAACACAAACAATGTTCAACCTTCCAGAAGCTGGTTCTACCACAAGTTTCACAGACTATCGTGGGAAATCTGGCTCTCACAGCCTTGCCCATGGGCTGCAGATAAGTGCCTTCTCATCTCTGATCTTACTCTTCATGTCGCCTGTTGTTGAGCAGGAGTTGTGAGGGAAAGAGTTTTGAGGTTACTGCTTCCTGTCTCCACACCTCGCTTAGCTGCTAGGACAGGCTTTGAAAAGCAAAGCACTAAATTCATCACCAAAACAACCTGCCAATTAGCAGACACACACCAGCCAAGGCAATTTTTTTTTTAAAGACAATCTTTTACTGCATTAGACAAATGCAGTTAGGAGGCTATCAATGCTTCTAGTAGGTGTACCCTAGTATTTGTAGTGGGAAAGAAAGGCCATTCCTACCTGATTTGGAAAACAGCAAATCTTCAAACAGAAGCTAGTATAGGAAAGCTAAAGTATCTCTTAGTTTCTTATAAGCCAGTGGTCCTCAATCTTCCTAAGGCCATAACCCTTTAATGAAGTTCCTCAGGTTGTGGTGACTCCCACCATAAAATTATTTTCACTGCTACTGTTATGAACCATAATGTAAATATTTGACATTCAACCACAAATGGGTCTTGACCCACAGGTTGAGAACTGCTGTTCTAAGCCTAGGTATATCCTTGGATTTTATAGTTTTCCCTTAAATAATTTGAAATACCACAGATTCCCAGACAAACAACAAAACAAAATAACGATGTACATAGCCAAGCTGACCACTGTCAATGATTTGGCTTATCTCTATCTTTGTACTCTGCTGCCATAGAGTGAGGGGGCGTGTCTTCTCACATATGCTCAGTTTTAAGGGAAATTTAAAGAAGTTAGAAGTATCATATGTTCTAGAAACCACAACGATCACACATTTAGGATAACTGTATGTCAATATCATTTAGGATAACTGTAATCTTTCTCTAATACCAGACATAAATTTATTTTATTTAGTGTGTCTCCCAAGCAGATGTAAATTTTGAAGTACTCTCAGATAGTGTTTCTCACGTGGACTTTTTTGAATTATTAAGACCAAGTCATAGAGAGGGTATTAACATTAAAAATGAGGGTTTATCAGCTTGAATCCTAAGTTAGGAAGCTGTTAGGCACATATTAGCAGAAAACAAGAAATTACCTTAAATTTAGCATCTCTCTTTAATCATCAGCTAATTTAAAAATGATCTGTTGAAACTGAAGAGTAAACATCGATACTTGTCCATCCTTTCAGAGTTGTTTTCAAACTCTTTCCCAACAAAACTCTGGCACAGTCAGAACATGAAGTGTTTTCCCTTTCATTGCTCAGTGGCTTGCTGTGTCACCAGCAGTGACATGTAACAGACAGTCTTGACACAGGGGCCATTGAGCTTTTGGTGAGAATGTTCTCCATTTGTAATCTGAGGTCAAATGGGCTCAGAATAAAAAAAAAATTAGACAAGCCCAACCACACTGAGACTTGAGCTCAGAGGCCCCATGACGGGAGGAAGAAAAAGCTACCTTCTAGTTTTTATATTACTGCTTGTGAAGACAAACCGTTTCAGAGTATGACTGCTGCCTCTTTCTTCTGAAAGTTTCCATCCTGTGTCATGAAGCCCCCACCCAGGCTTCTTTATAACCGAGATGGTCAAACTTGACTTTGGCTTTGGATCTGTCTATTCTGGTAATGCAATGAAGTAGAGACGAGTGAAGAGGAGGTATAGGCAAAAAAGAAAAATAGCTACTTGTTCCTTGGTCTTTGTGGCTGAGGAAGTCACTGTAAACTCTTCCTTTTCTCTTTAACCACACCTAAATCACTGTCAAGTTGTGTAAGCGTTAGCCAGTAAACGTTTCTCACTTCACCTCTGACCCAGAAGACAGCTGAATCTTGTCTACTCTCCACACCTTCACCCTTGTACACTCCAAAGTACCACTTCCATTTTTGCTAAAGTGACCTACATAAATGAGAAAGTTGTGCACATCTACTTTTCGGCTTAAAAGCCTTTACTAGCTCTCCATCACTGGCTGGGGAGGGACCAAGGTCTTTGATACGGTGAACAGTGCTTGCTTTTCCTATCTTGTCCTTCCTAACCCTTGATCACAAAGAATGAAGGTAGCTGTAATTCCCTCCAGAGAGTCACACACATTCTCAATTCCTATTTTCTTTGCTGTTTTTTCTCTTTTTTTCCTCCTCATGTTACCAATCTACTTTTAGTCTCGACATGCACACACTTACCTCATACCCACAACTTGAGGATACGTCTTAGCCAGGCTAACGTTTTACTTGATAAACATTTGCCTATCAATGTAGAATCATTCTTTACCTCTCAGACCAGCAATCTTCATGTGTAGGGAATCTGTGATTGGTTCTTCAATTGCTCCCAGAACCTGCAGGTCACTGTCTACTATCTCAAAATTAGCTGTCTGTTTATACATTTTTCCCCCTTACTAGACTGTGAGCTGCCCAAGGAATTCATGTTAGGAAATCAGCTTTCTCTTATGTGCGAGTCTTGGGAAGATGTTACCTGCTGAATCAGACAGGAATCACTAAGTGAACATTGGAGTCTGGCTGGAGCTTCTCCTTTCCCTTCTAGCTCCTCTCCCTCAACTCCTAAACAGAAGTTCATAGTAGCATTGCTCACAATAGTCAGTCTTGAGTGGAAAAACTAAATGTACTATATTTACACAATAGAATATTATCTAGCCATAGAATAAAGTTGTGATACTTTATTACAACATGGATGAAACTTGAAAATTGCTACATAAAAGAAGCCAGATACAGTATTTGGGAATTTGGGCGTCGTTCTTTCCAAACTACTTCCTGCTGGTAAGAGGCGCTGTCATGGGGGATTCTAAGAAGATTGTCTATAAATGTTTGTTTTCATTTAAATGGACTTGGTTATTAAAAAAAGCCAGATACAAAATAACACACATCCTATGATTCTATTCATATGAAATGTCTTGAAAGGGCAAACAGAGACAAGAAGTAGGAAGTGTTTGCCAGAGGCTGGAGAGAGAATAATGGGAAGAGACAGTTAATGAACATGAACGTTCCTTTTCATATAATGAAAATATTTGACAGATAGTTGTGGGATATTCACAACTTCTAGAGTATTGCTCTTTAAAAGAAGAACTTTATGGTCTGTGAATTACACTTCAGTGAGATTATCCCAAACCCCAGTATCAACACTAACCTCATCTTAACTTATAACAAATATATCAGAATTTCTGGAAGAAGTGTGGGTTTTCTTTTAAGGTTCTTGATGAATATAATCATTGATAATTATAAAGAAGGCAAAAGCAATTAGACATTTAATTCTGTGTACCTTCTACCTAAAACAACAATCAAATAACAAAACACACACACACACACACACACACACACACACACACACACACACACACCACCACCACCAACGACAAAACAAAACAAAAAAAACCCAAAAGCCCATGTCCATGAATTCAATCCCAGGTTAAATGACAAATTTTATTTTTTACAACTTCAGATTCTAGCTGGCTTTAGGGCACAAATAACTTTTTAAAAACTATAAACAGGGGGCCGAAGACAGCTGTTAAGTCAGCTGTTAAGACTAGAGTCATAACCAAAAAGTCACAAATAGGTAATGATTAGCATGTCCCTCCCAAGAAAAAAATTATTTTATCTGTATTAAACATCTTTCACAGACAAATAGCAATTTGTTTACTTTTAAAATATTGAGCTTATGTTTCAGAAAAAGGCTGTAGGGTCTTTGATCTGTGAGGTTGATTCTTCATGCTTAGCGGTCAGATATTTATATGGTAAGGCATTTGGTTTCAGTTCTGATTTTATTCATCATTTCTTCAATGACTAGACCTCATTCAGTCATCCCCCCCTCCCCCAAGGATTATATAGGCATGGTGGCCTGCACTGTTAATTCCAGCACTCAGGAGACAGAATTAGGTGAGTCTGTGTTTTCTAGGCCAGCCTAGTCTATGTAGTGAGTTCTAAGTCAGCCAAGGTTACAGAGTGAGACCCTGTTTTTTGTTTTTGCTTTTTTGTTTTGTTTGTTTGTTTGCTTAGAAAAAGAATAGAGAGCTAAAGACATCAAGTTGCCCTCTGATCTCTATTTGTGTGCTGTGGTACACACACACACACACACACACACACACACACACTTACTTAAACTGTAATAATTTCTTTTATTTAAAGGAATATGTTTTTGTGTTCTGGGAACTATATTTTGTGAAATCGGGGTGCAATGGAAAATACAACCCCCAATGGATTTGATGATGTGGTTTCACTTTGTTTACTTTTGAAGTGTGAAATAGAATTAGACGATATCCAGATCTTTGATTGTTTATTGCATAAAGATAGAATTCTTCTTGATTTAAGAGACCAAACATGAGTTTCTTGGGAGGCTGTTTTCTGAATTTGCTATGGAAGAGAAATTAAAGCCAACACTTGAATTACAGATTTCCTCACCTCTTTATCCTACTCTTGGTTTGGGCAATAAGCAAAACCAAATGTTTTTCAAATGTTTTTGAAAATTTTAAATCCCTTTATAGAAACCTGTCACACAATTGAAGATAAATTCATCTGGGCACCAGTATCACACTTTCAGGCTGCTTCCAAGCATATCACTTAATCAGGAAGTCAACCTGAGACCTGATTAACATCTTAGGAATCTCAATTTGATTCAAAATTCCTGGTGCATAGCTGTGGTGTTCAGTGCTGACAGAAGGTCACATTTTGCCTTCCAAGTGGAGACATGTTCCATTGTCCCATTCAAAAACAGATGTCAACATTATTGAAATAAAACCTTTAAAAGTTTTGGTACAGTTATTCCTCAAAGAAGAGCTATCTGCCAAGAGACTTTGTTGGAGATCTGTTCAGTTGGCTAATTAATTCCTTTTGATTTCAGGACAATAGAATTATTCTTCTTATATCCTAACTAAATTTATCCCCCCTCAGAAAACAAGATTTTGGTGAAGCAGTCACCCATGCTTGTGGTGGATAGCAGTGACGTCACCCTCAACTGCAGGTATTCTCACAACCTCCTCTCAAAGGAGTTCCGGGCATCCCTGTACAAGGGAGTGAACAGTGATGTGGAGGTCTGTGTTGTGAATGGGAATTTCTCCCATTCACAGTTTCACTCAAACGTGGGCTTCAACTGTGACGGGAATCTGAACAATGAAACGGTGACATTCTACCTCCGGAATCTGCATGTTAATCAAACAGATATTTACTTCTGCAGAATTGAGGTCATGTATCCTCCTCCTTACCTAGACAACGAGAAGAGCAATGGAACTATTATTCACGTGAAAGGTAACATGTGACTGTACTTGTGTTTGGCAATGCTGAAGTCGAGGTTGGGGTAAGTGGGGAGGCTGGAACACTCACCAATGATCTGAGACTCAAAGACAAATTATGCTTAAAACTGTTTTCATTTTACTTTAGATGCTAGCTCATACCTTGAATGCCTGTACCTTTCCTCACTGACATGTAGATGAGTGAAGGAAGAAGTTACACTCTAAGGGAATAGATCCTGTAAGATTATTATTAATTCAAGTAGGTCATGTCAGGAAAAAAGGTTGTTATTAAAATGCAAGTTGATTGTTTTTTTTTTATTTTTATGCATTTTGGCTAAGATCAAGTATAAAACTGAGCATAGAGTCCTCTAAGATGAAGCATGCCCTGGTGGGTCAGGATTCAGGAAGAATGGGCTGGACATCAAATTAATTCTCTTTTTTTAGTGATCTATGTTATTCCTCCATTAACTTTCTTTCCACTTTCCAAAACACAGAAAGGATGCTGAAATAGAAATTTAGGGGTCATGAAATTTGTTATTTTGGGTAGGTTACCCAACTTTTTAATAGTCCCAAACTCAATATGACTAAGCAGTAGTCATGAATGAGTAACAATTAGTGTATTATGTTTATGTTGAGATTATTTCTGTCTAAACACCGGGAAGAAAAATAACAGGATTCTCAAACTCAGGATTTAGTTATTGGCATTAACATATAAAACAGAGAGGCCAGGTAGATTTTTGTTTTTATGCCTATATTATAGCTTTTCCTTCCCACAGAGTGATAAATAAGAAAGCATATGTCTTATTTCATATTCAATTCTAGCTATCCTTGAGAAAAGTCAAGTACTAAACAAGGAAAGAATTATTATCTTAATATGGCTGAGTAGTTTTTGTGTTCTGGCAAAGAGAAAGGCAATTAATATCAGAATTCAGATTTCTAATACCAATAATGCTCAGACAAAAATATTTTGATTGGATTAAGTCAATGGATAAAAAAGATATGCCATTTTAGAAGTCAAGAACAAGCCATTGCTTCCATATAAATAATATATTACATATGCTAGTATTTTGTGTGTATTTATACACATATGTATATTTAGGAGAACTGGAAAAGACACCCGAGATTCTGTACTCAGCAGGTGTTAACCTCAGCATTTTATTTTTTGTATATTATAAACCTATGTAGGTAAGCCAAAAAATTCTTGCACTCAACTTTGAGCTTCTGACTTAATCAATGTAGCTTGAGAAAGGAGAACTAGATAATGTTTCCAGATCTTGTTAGATAATTCAAATGTGAAGTCAGGATTAAAACTTCATGGACTTGAGATTGTTGATATTCTTTTCATCTATGTGTTTTTATTACAACTTAATTATAAAGAACTTGCAAGAAGAAAAAGTCATGCATCAAAAATATTCAGATCCTATACATTTCAATGAGCTATGAAGTATTCTTTCTAGTTATAATTTTCTATAGTTTCAATAGAGCTGAATGGTTTTTTTCCATCCCCTTTTTGATAACGAAGATATAGTGTGACTCATTCAGCATCAGAGAAGCTGTTGGAGTGGGAGCCAGATATCTGTCATGTTAAGCTGGTGATTTTTCTTAGGGTTTGAAAACATTTTATATCATTTTACTTATTTCAAAGATAGAGTCTAATGTCTAGATCAATTAGCTTCTGCTTGGGGTAAGGAGATAGGGTCTAGTTAAAGTCATTGAAAGTTGCCGTTTTGAATTATATAATGTCCAATAAGATCCAGTGACTGTGACACCTCCAGTGTGCCCCTCTAGAGCAGTGGTTTTCAGCCTCAGTCTTGCATGCTGACAAGGTCGTGATCAGTGGTGGGCAAGACTAGATCATCTAAGCTGGTAATGGTTTGCATATTTTAGTACTTTCAAATTCTTTTCTGATGTTTAGGACATAAATGTATTCAACTGTTGTTGCTGCGTCCTTTAATCTGCCCTGTTATGTTTTTCAGAGAAACATGTTTGTCCTGATCAGGCAACTCCTCAGCTGTTGTGGGTACTGGTCGGGGGTGCTGGAGTCCTGTTTCTTTATGGCTTGGTAGTGACAGTGGCTCTTTGTGTTGTCTGGGTAAGAGGAGCAACGTTGCTTTTATGTAACATCCCTGCACATTTACTCTGACTGTATTAAGAATCTGGTCTGTATCTTTCCTCCTGTAATATTGAAAGAGGTGTTTTTTTTTTTTTTTTTTTGTTTTGTTTTGTTTTGTTTTTGGTTTTGTTTTTTTTTTTGTTTTTTTTTTTTTTTTTTTAAATTTGTTCGACCTCATGGGAAGTAATGATCTGACATGAATTCTGTTTTCTAGGAGGCACTAAGTGATCAGGAAAAATTAGAAACGAAATGGGGGGAGATTAGGGTGGGAGATTAGAGGCAGTTAACTTTCTTATCCTTATTTTTGCAACAGAGTAACTGCATATTAAGCATATAAATGCATAATAAAGTATAAAAATTCTCAGCCCCATCAGGAACTTAGCAACTGAAGCCAAGGAACAGCTTTGGTTCGGGGTCAAAACTCAGGAGAGAGTAAGCTGCTGACACTGTGTATTCAAACCAGAAAAACACGGGTCTGCTTATGTTAGTCCTATTTTCTGTCTCTTCTGAAGCAGTTGCATTGTGTGAGGCCAAGTACGGTGCTGTCATTATGAAAGCATACAGGGAGGAGAACTGAAAAGAACTTACCAGCCTCTGCAGATGATTCTGCAATGAGCTTGGTAATACATATTTTCACCTTTCTCAATGTTAAATTTTTGAGCCACGCTTGAACATTTTTTGTTTGATTTTTCTGAGACAAAGTCTCACTAGTGGCCCAGATTGGCCTGGAACTTGCTATATAATCCAGCCTGCCCTTAACTGACTCATAGTAGTCTTCCTGTCTCAACCTCTCAAGTGCTGGAATTATAGGTGTGTGCCACCCTGTCTGGCTTTTGAACACATTTAAAAGTTTATTTTATGTGTATGAATGTTTTGCCTGCATTTATGTCTATGCACCATTTGTATGTATGGTACCCATGGAAGCCAAAAAGGGGCATCAGATTTCTTGAAATTGGAGTTACACATATTTGTGAGCCACCATGTGGGTGTTAGGAATTGAGAGTGGGTCCTCTGAAAGAGAGGCCAGTACTCTTAACCCTTGAGCCACCCTTCCCACCCTCTTTTGAACACATTTTGATGAATACATTCACTGTTAAGAAGGGACCACCTTAGCAAGGATCATTTTCTTAGAAACCTCTTTGTGCACAAGGAACAGAACAGCTTGTGTATTGATTTCACATGCCTCTTAATTTTTTCCAGAAGTCGGGTAAATATGCAAGTAAGTAATTTCTTCAACGAGAAATGTATGCTGGGTGCAAGGGGAAAAGAGAATTTCTCTTGTTATTCTCTGCTCATTTGCTAATAAGTGGATGCTTATTGGATTGCCAAATAGGCAACCCTGATAGAAACCAAATAAAGACCTAACTAAGCCTGCTTGAATTATGATACCCATTCCAAGGCATAATCCATATATTTAGCTAATGTACAGTCAGGGACTTCTGGAAGTCAGGCCATGTGATGTCATCTTACTTTTACTACATAGTGGACAAGGCAGCCTTAGTTTTAAAGTTCTATCATTTAAAGTTTAAACCCATTAGACTTAAATTGTTATTTTTTTATCCAAAGTTGCATCTCTAGTATTCCCCATGTATTCTGTAGCTCACAAAATCATAGGGGGCAGGTGGACATTTTTCAGGCTACTTTTTGACTAATCTGTAACTTCTACACAGAAGGGTAGATAGTGTTTGCTTTTTCCTGGGAATTCTTTCTGTCATCTTGGGAATCTGCCTAACTTGGTTTCTACAAATTGTGCAATCATGATATGTGACAGGAAGCTTTAGCATTGGAAAGTAGTGCCCAAGTTCTGCCTCTGGTATTAGTTGAGAGCTTTCTTCCTTCTGGACTTTGGAGTGTGCATTCTTGCTCTCTTGCAGCTCTACAGTGGTTGCTGTTTTTTTGCTTCCCAAGTTTCTGAGAAGTTCAACTTCCTAATCTAAAGGCCAGGTGCAATGGCCCTATGGGTACCCTTCCAGGAAAGGCCTGGGCTCCCTTGTCATATGTTGACCTAGGTCAAAGGAGTTCACTAGCTTCATGGGAAGTCGTTTTGGAAACTGCTTTAGCTTTCAGCGGTCCCACAGGAACCACTTTAAAACTTATGGTAAATATAATTAGGAAGCCAGCTTCCAAAATGAGAAAGCAATTTGCTAAGTGACTGGAATCACCCAAAATGACAAAAACAACTTCTCACTTTCAATGAGTTAAAACAATTCACCTTTCAAAACAGGCATCGGAAATGTTCTGAGCTTTACTTTGGCAGCCCCATAATTCCTGGTAAGATTCATCTTTGCCTTTAGAGAGCTGATTTTGACTTATCTCACAAGGTCACTGTGATTGGACTGTCTTAGTTCTTGATGTATCTTGTCATCTGTGGCCTTTGGGAGTCAAACCAGGTTATCTAATAAAAACATCACTTATTTGGGCCTCAAACCCAGGTCTTTGTACTCTGATCAAATGGAGCACATAAAAATAATTTACATTTCACAGAACGATGTAACAGTTTTACCCTGGGCTCATTTTTTCCTCTTTCTGCTATTTGACCAATAAGCAACTTGGCGAGTGAGGCATCTAGGGACCCCTAGGGCTTAACCTCTTTCTGGGATCCTATTTTTATGTGGTCAGCAGTGTGCTTTGGCAGAATTCAGCTGTTTTCCAGAGCTTCCTGAGAACCTGTGACGAGCTACTAGGCTGTGTGGGTTCCTAGGAGCAGCTATAGATTCTGTGTCTGTGCTTTGCTTGCTGTTGGCATTTGAGTACAGAAAATGCTTCTCGGGCTGCCTCAAGCTGCTACCTGTTACTCTCAGTCCTTTATTCACTCAGATAAGCTGGTAAACTTCTTCCCTTTTTGAGCTTTGAGGATGATTTTGTTTGTTTGTTTTGTTTTTAGTGTGTTCTTTGCCAGTGTGCACCACAACGAGTGGATAACGTGTGGTGTTTAGGTAGCATCTGCTTTGAAATCTACTCCATTCTTGACCACTAAGTACATTGTTTCTGTATACCCTGTATGTTGCTGCCTTGTCTAGGAAACAAGTGGGTAAGGCAGAGATAGGAAGAAGGGCAAAGGTACAGTGGCCCTGATGTCACAAGTAACACAGATACACAGACACAGGAGGTGGATACTTTGTGCATACATAGATACACATTGTGGGCGCACACGAGCACTGCGGGTTCTGGAGTAGATTCCCAGCCATTTATAGCTCAATAAATATATTGATCATGGTGTTGGGGTAAGCATAGGAGCTGATTGTAACAGTAGATTTTCTTTATCTTTGTGTATAATTTGGAGAACCTCAGAGTCATGACACCTTGTTTAAAATATTATTATTGAGGCCTTTCTTTAAGCTATACTTTCACTAGAGTATCCACAGGCATGGTTTAGCATTTGGGGGCTGGCAAGTGTAACCTTAAAGGTTAGCATCAGTGCTGAAAATGCTTACCTGGGCAGTATTAGCAGCATCCTTTGCTTACCCGAGGCCTCTGGGTATAGAGAGGAGACCATGGCTGTAGTCACTCTCATTTATCTATTCAAGAAAGCTTGTTACTCCTGCCCAATGCATTGGACCTATGGGCTTAGAAATATGCATTGTTTTTTGTTTTGTTTTGTTTTGTTTTAATAGCAGAGAATCCATAGTAGAATTCCATAATAGACAATCCACATGGCTTTCTGCTTTTAACAGCTTTATGAGTCTTTTGTCAAGATGAAAATGTTACCATTACATTAATCAGCAATGATGCTCCTAATCCCTAGTCAAAAACTTGGTCAAGATTCAAAGTGTTAACTCTAGCTCCAGGTTCAGTGTCATTCCTATTTCTCTGTTCCTGGTAGAATTCCATACAGATATTGCTAAGCTTGGGGAACAGTGACGGGTGACATTATTGCCTTTGTAGAAATATGTACATATAGGGAATAAGAAGGTAGTGTTCAGAACCAGAACTAGAAACCCTTATTTATTTGGCCTCTACTGACATAAATTTATAATTATCATTTCAGATCTTGAAAGAACTGAAAGGGCTTTTTTTGTTATTAATTATGGAAAAACAATTTACTTAATGAATGATTAAAGTGGGAATACTTAACCTATCCAGAAAAGGAAGGGCCTTCAAATGTGTTTCAATATCAATGATGAATATGTTCTTAAGTATGCTCTTGGGCTTTGGATTAGAGGACAACGTTAATTGTAATGGACCCATTTTTAGAAAATAGCTTCCTTTAGATTTTGAGTAGACTGGTGGCCAGGCTTTGCTTAGTCATTATCACAGTCCAAAGCACATACACAGTGCTGTGTCTCAGGGTCATTTGGCAGCTGATGTTCTGAATAACTAACCCCAAAGTCTTAGGACCTCTCCCATAATATTTTCTCTAAGTCCTTCCATCTTGGCTTTTCCCTCCCCTGCAGAAAAATAGCAGAAGGAACAGACTTCTTCAGAGTGACTACATGAACATGACACCCCGGAGACTCGGGCCCACGCGCAAGCATTACCAGCCCTACGCCCCTGCCAGAGACTTTGCAGCCTACAGCCCCTGACAGGGACCCCTATTCAGAAGCCAGCCGGCTGGTGCCCTTCTACCTGCTCAACACCACTGCTCTGGATAGGAAAGGACGGTCTCATCTTCAGCCGGCCACTTTGGACCTTCACTGGGCTACCTTTGTTAATTGTTTCAGAGCATCTTGATCTGACATCACGGTCGTCTTGAGACTCTGGAATGAATTTAAAGAAACTTCCATGGCATGTTAAGTTCTGCATGCCTCGACCCAAACTCAAGCTTAGTATATTTATTGACTTGATTGAGAAGTTAGAGCAGAGAAAACAAAAAGTGAGAGGATTCATTCAGCATTGGAAGTCAATTTCCAGGATCACTCTGGTTCCCTTCTCACTTACCTGTACATTTCAGTCATGTGAAGTGTGATGGCTAAAGATGTTTTAGATGGAGTAGAAAGGCTAGAACAGCCTTCTCTTTGGCTAAGTTGATGTTTAGGGTGGGGATAGGTTAGAGTTGCAGAGTACAGTACTTACCTATTTGAAGAGAATTAAAACACTGTTTCCCACTCATGAAATGAGCCATTTAGTTCCTGTTTAGTGTTTTCCTGTTTAGAAAGCTGTGGACATTTTTTTAAAAACTGAATTCTGACCATTTTTAATCAATTTGACCAGTGGAATGCCCTCAAAGCACCCCAGGGCTTGCTTTCCTCATTCCCTGTCTTGGGAATTAAGTATTATTAATAGTCACAACATGATTTTAGAACTAAATAGCCTCCCACACCAGGAAGAATGCGAGAGGAAATAAGGTCACTTTATATATATAAAAAAGTCTGAATGCTATGAAGGATTACTTGTTTAGTAGCTTGTTAGAGGCAAATCATTTAAGTTTCAACTTCCCACAGTTGCTTTCCTTATTGCCTTTGTGGGTATCTGCAGTAGAATTCTGAAGTTGCATCTATATAGTGCTAGTCATGATACTGTGAAAAAGGGGTGTTCCCAGGAGCTTCCTCTGAGGAAGGGGATGAGGCAACTCTTACCATGTATTAAAGAGATGAACATTTTCCAGACAGCATCTTAGGGAGCCCCAGTTCAAGTTCCTTTAGACACTAAAGTTTAGAGGGACTGTATTTGTTCTAGGGCTCAGAACTCCAGGATTTTTGTGAGCTGTAGATTCATTGGCATGAAAAATCATTTTGGAGTGTGTTTTTAGGGACAACATTGAAGTTCTCAAGAGAACGTGAAAGGCCCGATACTAGAAAGAAATGAACGTGTCTTTTCTTTGCCTCCAGTTTGGATCAACTGGAATAGATCCGGGGGACCTTAAAGAATGAGTGTCTACAGCTGTCTTTGCCATTTGTTTAGTGCTTTGAATTATTCAGAGGTTTTAGAGGCAGGTAGACCTGGCATTACTAGTTGAATGGCCTCAGGCAAGCCACCTCAACTGTAAAATGAACATCATGAAACTTGCTTGTTCCCCCTGCCTCTGCCTCCCAAGTGCTGGGATAACAGGAGTATACAATTATGCCCAGCTTGTAATAAATTTAAACCCAAACTCATGAGAATCTCCCAGCTTCAGTAATTTTCTAACTAATTGAAATAGTTTATCTTGCAATCAACCATAAGGCATTTCCCCCTACTGTTGTTTTCTTTAAACTTTTTTTTCCCCAATATGAGGAGGAAGAAATGGGAATCTTTTAATTCTAGACAGACGATATCATGCTCTGATAGATTTTTTTGAAATTGGCTTCCACTCTGTGCCTTTAATTAAACCAGTGAAGGCCGAGGTCAGCCCGACTTGTATGATGAAAGATGGCCGACTTGAGCCAGGCACTCACGATTGCAGCCAGCCTTTTGACATGTAGAGTTCTTGAACCGCAGTTATAAAATTGCATTTGAAAAATGACACCACTGGAGAGTTTTTTAGAAAGGGCAATGACAAATAACAAACACTTTAAGTGGAAAGATTTGATCTTTGATAATCAATAACTTTATTTTCTAACTGGAAAAGGAGGGTTACTGAAGATGAATCACACTTGAGATTTTTTTTTTTTTGTGCCTACTCTGAACAGAACCAAGGTGTCATGGGTGTTTCACTATTGGTATGAACCAACAAATGCTGTAAAAAGCATGGTTTAGACTAACACTTTTGCCCTTTCAGATGTAGTGTGCATGAAGTAAACGCTGTCACTTGCTGCTATTATTGCAAGAGTCTTGGAGTTAGAGGTATGCCTGTAATTTTTAATTGTGAGCTCATATATTTGGGACTGAGCATGCCAATTTGAAGAGACCCAGTGTACCTTATACCTGCATCCAATGATAAAATGACTACACTAACATGTGCCTGCTTTTAAATTTGTGCTTTAATGTTGTCCCCAGGATGAGTATGCAACGAATCTGGACATATTTTGCTCGTTGAAAGAGTGTATTATAAATCTTTTTACATCTCTGTATTCTCTCTCTCTCATGTCTACCTGCTCCCCTGACTCTCTCTCTCTCTCTCTCTCTCTCTCTCTCTCTCTCTCTCTCTCTCTCTCTGTGTGTGTGTGTGTGTGTGTGTCTCCCCTTCCCCTGACTCTGTTTCTGTTTCTTTCTCTCTCCCTCTCCAGATTTTCAAATATTGGTTTCTCTTGGGAGAGATACAAACTACTGGTTTCTTTGCTTGCCTTCAGTAGCAGTTTATCAACAGGCCAATGGTTTGCTTCTTTGAGATGTCAGTCTGGCTTTATTTATGTACTCTGTCTGATATGTCTGCCATGGGACAGCTATAACTTGACTGAACTGTCCATCATTTAGTTCTTCAATTATTTAGTCAACTAACAGAGCCACTAATCTGCATGGCTATTTTAATGGGCATACTGATGGTCGAATGGATGTCTGATCCCTCACCCCAGCCTCTGTACTGCCATGTGAGCAATGCAGTGGACTAGCATTCTCACCTGGAAATGTTAAATTCAACTACACGAGGTGGGCCTGAAACTGCAATACTCACTTCCATTTAGCCACCATGAGCCCAGGTCAAACACAATGACATGGATTCTTTCAGGACTCAGATGAGTGAGTTTCTGCTGTCTGTAATGCCAGTTGAAGCTTAAATCTATCTAGCTCTGATATGTTTAAGCAAATACCAAAAGCTTGTTCCCCCGTCAGGGACTTTACACGTACTATTTTCTCTGTCTAGAATGTTATTCTCTAGGTATCTCTTTGGTTTGCTCTTACTTCCTTGACACATTGGCTTAAATGTTACTTTCAACTGTAGTTAATTACCTTTATAACCTGTCTTTTCACCTTGCTTATTTTCTCAATAATACGTTACCACCTCTTATACTAGATGTTTTCCTTATTTATTGGTTTATTGTTTGTTTTTCTAATCTAGACTGGATCTACATAAGGAAAGAAATCCATTGCTGTTTTTTTTTTCTGTATTCCTAGTACCTAGAATAATGCTTAGCATGCAATGAGTATTTATTGATTGAATAAACTGATTTCACATGGGCTTATGAATTAACCGTGAGTCTAAATGATTTAAGCACACTCTGAGGAGGAAAGAATCTCTTCTGTCTTCCACTTTTACTGTAGACACAAGAGGTAAAGCATACACAAAGAAATCTTGTGGAAGAACATCTAATTTATATTAAGTTCATTTATAGTTTGCAAATTTTTGTGCAATCTGAAAAATAAATACAGCCAGAAGCATTGTAAAGAAGTTATTATAAACAAACCTATTAGGGGTAAGTTGATTTTCCACTTAAAGTTCCCAAATTCTCTCTTAATGGATTATTGATAATGTTTTATCTTACTTTGTTTTCATTTTTTTGATACCTTTTATTTATTTGTTAATGGGGCTGGAGAGATGGCTCAGTGGTTGAGAGCATGAGGTGCTCTTCCAGAAGACCTGAGTTTGATTCCCAGCACCCATATCTGATGTGCTCTTCTGATCTCCATGGACACCAGGAACTCTCATGGTGCAGCTGATATACATTTAGGCAAAACATTCATACACATAAAATAAATAAATGAAAATAACTTAGTTGTTGACAAATATATATATATATATAATATATATATATAATATATATATATATGATGTGTCTTGATAATACCTATACCATGATGTGTCTTGAGAATACCTATACCAACTCCTCACCACCATGCCCCTCTGGATAGTCCCTGATTGCATGTCCCTCTCATTTTCATGACCTTCCCTTTTTAATTCTTTTCTTTTTGGTAGCTCACTGAATACAGTTAGTTGCCCCTTGCTGGAATGCTTGCCATTTTTGTTGGGTCTTGTGCAGGTAACCATGACTTCTGTGAGTTTTTGAGTTCAATGGGTACAGAATGTCTAGAACAAAGAATTTCGTAGCACTCCTCTACGCTCTCTGGCTCGCACATCCTTTTAGTTCCCTCTTCTATGATTTTCCCTGTGTTTTGGGGGAAAGGCTGATATAAATGTCCCCCATTTGGGTTTGAACATTCAACAGTCTCCTGTTCTCACCAGTATGACCAGTTATGAATCTCTGCATTGCTACTCAGTGCAGAAAAGAGACTGAGAGCATCACTAATCTATGGGTAAAAATGGAAATATTCAGAAGGCAGTTTGACATGTCCATTCAGAAAAACAGTAGTAGTAGTTTCCCTGTTTTGACCTATGAGCCATGAGTCATGAGCCAATGACTTTTGACCAGGTTTAGAGTATCAGTCCTCAACTCCCTCCCTCTTATGGAGTTGGGCACAAATCTTATCAGAAAAGTAGCTGGTTGCTCCCATGACCTCTGTGTCACTATTGCATCTGTGGGCACATCTTGTCTGGCAGGTTGACACTGTAGCCTTCAGGGTCCAGTTCTAGGTAAGACTGTTTATATGCTCTCCCCACCCCACAGCACTAAGAAAGTTAGCCAGGCAGAGAGAGCTTCTCAGTTTAGTTCTAGCTTGATTTCTCTGCCCTGTAATCAAAGCACATTGTATCTTCAGCAATAGAGTTTTACTATGTGGTTAAGGTGGGCGGGCCTCTGCAGGTTCCTTGACTAATACTTTGTAGAAACAGATCCCATTCCTGGCACTGAGGTTTTTCATTTAAAACCCTTGCTTTCTGGGGGAAGCATTTTGTCAATGCTTTAAACCTATTTTTTTTTTTTTTGTTTATGATTTCTGAAAATACGGCTTTTGTAGTTAAAAATTCACCCTGCAGTTGAATAGCTTCTCTTTTCTATGGAGTGATTTTATCCCAATGAAGTCTATAAAAAATGCCTTGTTTGGCTCTGATCCTAAAAGATCTCAAACAATGGTGAGGGAAAAAAATAATGTCAATTTCTTCACCAGTCGTGTCCATGGCATAACTGGGTGCTTGAAAGGCTTGGAGTAGCTTCAGTTGAAGAGAACAATGAACAAATAAAACTCTGAACAATCTGAAAGTGTATACCAGATCAGTATTTAACATACAGGTTCCCAGAAAGAAGGGGTTATGGGAGGAAGAGAATATCTTGTGTGGAGTAGGCCTTTGACCCACAGACACAAGAGCTTGTCTGATACTTGATAATCCATGTAGCTGTTTTTATATCGCTTCAAGTTTTACTTTGAAGGTAAAAAGGTATATTACTTAATTCATCTTTAAACACACTTTCTTTTGTTGCAACCAGACTTATAAACTTAGTAAGCATGAAAAAGGATGAGCTCTCGTGCCTGCTACTATTCAAGAAAGACTGGAATGAGCTAGCCTCACAGAGGTTTCAGCAGGGAAATCAGATCACCTGGAAAGGTACCAGATTGATATATGTGACAAATTCAACTACTACAAAAATCTCAGTAAGGATGTCTTTATTGTATTAATGAAAACTGTAGAACCCATTTCTATTAAAAAAAGAAGAAAAAAAAAAGAAAGGAAGGAAGGAAGAAAGAAAGAAACAAAGAAAAGTTCAAGTGCCTTCAAATTCCTCTTCAAGGTGGAACACAGTGTAGATTTCATGACATCCCCAGACAGACCCCTCTCCCATGCCTTAACCACACAAATGTGTGAATTTAAAATCAACAACTACCCCAAGTACACTTTTTTCCTTTGTTGGGGATTGAGTGCAGGGCTTCATGTAAGACAAGCACACAGCCAATTGAGCTGCATCCCCAGCCCAGATCAATTTCCTTTTTTAGTGGGGAGAATAATGTGAGTATACATCTCATTGTGTGTGTGTGTGTGTGTGTGTGTGTGTGTGTGTGTGTATGCATAAGTGCATGTGTGTGCATATACATGTTGATGTTGGATATTTTCCTCTATGATTCTGCACTTTATGTTTTGTGAAGACTCTCACTCAGTCTGGAACTCATACAAGTGAATTCCAGTAAGCCCCTGCCTCCACCTTCCTAACCCTAGTATGACAGGTTAAGTACCAGTCCCTGACTCTTTATGTGAATGCTCGGGTTACAAACTTAGGTCCTTGTGCTTGTGCAGGAGGTTCCTCACTGACTGAGCTACATCCCCAGACCCACATTTCTGTTTAACCAGTATCTTTCTTCTTCTCTCACTGTATCTGGAACACAGACAGTGGATAGGTAAGACAAATCAAAGACATTTCTGGATTCATTGCAAAAGAGGTCTGACCACCACAGTATGAAGCTGCACACAGATGGCCCAGGGACCATCTCAAAAACTTGCTGGGTGTGTACCCCTAGGTTCTGTGAGTTCCCCATGAAAGCTCCCTTGACTTGATAGCAGTGGTTCTCAGGAACTTGGTTCTTTGGGATCACACTTTCCCATCTATCTGGCATCCTGAAAGGAAGGTTTTTGTTTTTGTTTGTTTGTTTTGTTTTAAGATTCATAGGCTTCTGGCTCTTAAAACTCCTGATATCTGTCCAGAGCAGGATGCAGAACACTCGCTTAAGTGCTTAAGTGCTTTTTGCTGATTTCAGGGACAAAATGCTAGAAATCACTTGCATTGAAAGTTGGCAAGAATATGCCAGATTTCATGAGCTGATCTCATTCTTGGGGCCAAATAAGAGCTCAGAATCCGTGCTTCACACAGGCCATTTGAACTCCATGAAAGGATTCGATGGGCTCCAAACTCAAGGGGGCAAAAAGTTGTAGAAAGGGCAGCTTGATTTCATTTGCACTTCATTATGCAAAGGTATCTCAATGACAGATAATCTCCTTTGTCTCCAAAGGGCAAACTGTGAGCTGGGTGGAAATGTCAGTTGAGACAGAAGAGCAGCAAACAGCTTTGTTTTCCTATAGTTGTGGTTTTACATGGTGATAGTGACACACGAAAATGAAAACGTGCAGCATGAACTCCAGTTATTATCTGAGTGAGCATCTCTGCCAAAGCTGAAGGATATGTGTGGGTGTCACCTGCAAGCAGAGAGAGAGGGAGGAGGGGGAGAGAGAAAGAGAGAGAGAGGAGAAAGAGAGAGGAGAGAGAGGGAGAGAGAGAGAGAGAGAGAGAGAGAGAGAGAGAGAGAGAGAGAGAGAGAGAGGGTGCAATAGGTGGGTTTGTATTAGCATTGGCAAAGTTGACCAGAGTCATATAGACATTTTTTCAATCTCGTGTGCACACACTGAGCATTTGGTATGTTGGCTTCCAAAGTGGGGACTTTTGCTAACTTCTGGG